TACATACATACATACATACATACATACATACATACATACATACATACGCGCGTGCATACATAGATTATCAGATAGATAGATAGATTGATTGATTGATTGATTGATTGATACACACATACGTGCATACATACATAATATATAAATATTTGCATGTCAAAGGGACATTGTTATTTTGGGGCTGCCTACGTCATGGTGTAAGAGGTAATGTTGTGTGAGCAACCATCCTTGTTTTATAATGTCCTTTTTGGTTGATGCAGCGTTTTACCACCTGGCCATGATAATTAGGATTCTACAAGAGTTTCTCAATATGAGCCACTGGTAATGGGATCAATGGAAGTGGCTTTAACAAGCGTGAGGTTCGGGAAGAACGTGTTGAGTTTTTGCATCAGTTGGTGTTGCCAGGCATTTCTTGGACCCCATCATTTCACAATAAACATATCAAACTTTAGGCCTTCAAGCTTTGGGTTGACAAGTTACTTGACAAAGCAAGGCCAATGCAAGGCCAGTCGGCTTTGCATGAGCAACAACGTCTAACAAGTGCATTGCTGCTAGTAGCAAGAAGCTACTAGTAACAAGTTTGTGGTTCCGCTGGGTTCGTGTGACTCATTTCTTAGAAAGGCTCGTGGGCACGAAGCAAGCTCCACCAACCCTGCCTGGGCGCCATTTCTTAGAAAGGCTCGTGGGCACGAAGCAAGCTCCACCAACCCTGCCTGGGCGCCCTTCTCATGAGCGAAGCACCCAGTCTTGTGTCTTGTGGCGGGTCTTGAAAAGAGGAAGCCAAGAGGAAAGCCCTGTGCCGCCATGAAGATTGAAAGTACAAAACTCATAAAATTCATTAAACAGCTTCAACATGTTGCAACCAGTAGCAGGGTTCAAACCGTACTCGTGCCGTACTCGTTAGACGGCTTTCTCCCTCGCCACGATCCGCCCAGGCAGATCCCTCCCGACACTGACTGCTACATGCAGCTTCTGGACTCCTTGCATTCCAGCATCGAGCAACGGAGGTTCTTCTACAAGCAGGCGGCAGTCGGAAGGGCTCGTGTATAGCCTCAGGGACCGGGACAGTGTATGTTTTTGTTGAGGCACGGTGAAAGCGGGCGGGGGTCAGCTTTAGCGTGCCTCGGAAGAAAGAATGGTGGCGGAAATATGTTTGCAACTTAGCCAAAAATTGGCACTTGATCTTCTAGAAATGAATCAGATTTGGTGTCGCAAGTGAGACCATGTTTTTGTAATTCTGAAGTTTGGGGGACATGGTGCCGAGGGAAGCGAGGGAAGCTGGACCAGTGGAATATGACTGCGGATCTGTTGGGACATATGTTCAGACGAGTTTATGGTCAGTCCAAACAATGTGGGATCTCACCAGCCAAACAGTTGGATGATGTTGGATGTATTACTTGAGAACAACATGTCCAACAAGATCATCAAAACTGTGCCGTGACGGAAGTTGGTCAATGGACATGCGCTTTCTGGGGATGGTTCATGCCTGAGCTTTCTACTCTGGAGCTTGGCAACGTCAGAGCCAGGTGCCAGGAGCCAACGATATTTGGCATACGTTTGCAAAACTTCCGGCATAAGTTTGTCAAATTACCGAGACCCTCCAACATCCAACAGGTCGCCGCCTGCCACTTTTAAGATCTTCAAGTCTTCATTTCAGGTTGCAGAGGAGACCTGTAGCCAGCTGGACGCTGGCTAGTATGTACCCCAGAACTGGTTTCCCAGTGCTGTCGTTGCAACCCGTTTCCGCCATGTCTGCAGTTGTCTTTGAAGACTTGATCTTTGCCCATCGATGCAGCCGTGATCAACGGTGCGACCGCGGTGACCAGTGCGGTGCAGAAGGCCTTCAGCGTCGTGACAATGGTTGTGTTGCTTTGCTGAAGTCCAGGAAAGGGCATTGTACACCACATAGCAGTTGCAACTGAGAACAGCCTCAACAGCCTCAGCAGTGTTCTTCTTTGATTTGTAATGATTTGTACATGAATTGATTGTTCTATGAATGTGCGCTGCTTCCGTTTGTGGATTTGGTAGTTGATGATGATGCTACAAGATGTTGTCCTGGCTGTAGTTCCCCTCGTGCACAACGCCCCGCTCACTAACCCCTGAGTCCCCCATCCTTCCTCGCCATCCTTCCTCGCAGGGTGAGAGGTATTTAAAAGTATGTTGGGTCAGCCTGCCACAAGGACAACAAGTTGGTTCCAATTCACCCAGACCAGGCCTGTTGGGGACTGGAAAACCGAAGATACCAAAGGGTGTTACGTAGTTGGTTGCACAAGAAGGTGATGTGGACTATTTCGGGCCGATTTGCAGCGATTTCAGTGTGCCTAGCGAGAGAAACGGCGGATGAGACGAGATTTGTGATGGCCTCCAACCTACTAACGATGGCCTCCAACCTACTTTCTCAGGGTTGTCTCTTTCACCTGGGCAAGGCAACGAACTCGTCATTGGTCTCCGCGAACATTTGGACACGAACGGGATCTGGATCTGACGGAGTCGCGGGCTGAGCGGGTGGCGACAGCACTTGCGGCCAAAGGTTATAAGCCATGCTGAGCCTTCACTTTGAGGCAAAGGCCGGCTCTCCTCACGTATATTGTATAGGTAGGGCATGGAAGGGACTGTATCCTCAAGATCTTTATACATTTTTTGCGAGTTCAGCCCCACCGTTGGAATCTGTCATGGATTTCTTTCCCTCGATTCATGGCCTGACCTGTCCAGACGGCACCTGCGGAAAAAAGAAAACACAAGAGCCGTTGAGCCGAAATCGCGGAATCGCACGGTGTGTGGGATTGACATCTCCAGGACAGTCTCCAGGACTTGATTGGCCAAAGAGTTGATTTTCAGCAGTTCCATGTCGTGACAGAGGAGAGCGAGTTCTGCCCATTATAAGTAATATATAGATATCCACTCACGGTTGGTGGGTCTATGGCAGCCAACCCTTTTGAAAGTCCTGACTGAATTTGTTGCTTTGTTGTTTCTTTTTTTGGTTTTGCAGGTGCCACTCTTCGGGGTCAAGGGCCCTTCAGATTGGCGTTTCCAGAGGGCACCTGCAACTGTTTGCGACTGTCTTTCGTGGGTTCAAGGATTCCAAGTGCTTGATTGGGGATTGGAATGGAACTCATCCATCATATTCCATCCCTGACATTCCCTGACCAACGACCTCAAACGAACATTCAATTACAAGGCACTATAATTAGTAATAATATCAATAAACCAAAATATAGTACCCAGACACTCCATGTATGGCATATATGCCTACATTGGGGTGGTTTGAGGGGTCAATCTAGGCATATACTGGTATGGTATACATGGAGCGTTTGGGGTATGCTATGGCTTTCATGGTTTCATGTTAAGACTTGATTACAAATTGATGTCCCAACTACCACCAGCTGAACCACGACTTGGCATGGACCAGTAAGGGTATTCCATTCCATTGATCTGCCAGTCCGAGCAAAACCATCATGAAAGAAAAGCGAAACAGCGGATGCACGAGCTGCTAAGTCGGCAACAGAACAATCCGATGAAAACGCCTACGAATGCAGTTCAGAACAGTTCCACAGTTCTTCATGGTCTAGGACAAGTCTTCGCCATTCGCCCCTCCCTGCAAGGAGCTCCAAGTGGACTTAGCTGAGCTTCATGAGACCTTTGCCCAGCCACAGAGCCGTCCGGCGCGGTGGCTGTGCGGAACGACGCGTCCGGCGTCCCCATCTGCGGGGCCCACGTTCAGCCCAGGGCTTCAGACATCCACATCTAACCATCCAAAACCCAGGTGCTTCGACAGTGATGCTGAGGGTAGCCTCCCCAGTAGCGGGTCATCAGCTTCCTGGAGCCCGAGTCAATCGGTCGTCCACCATGCGACCGCGCTGCTTTCAAGCGCGCGGCTCCGATCCGCCTCCGCCGGTAGGTCAGGTTCGTATCCTCTTTGAAATCCATGTTAAAAGAAAAGAATGAGGATAAGGGTCAAATGATGTCAAATATGATCAAATGAATGTCTCCTGACAGTTTCAGATAATGTCTATTTTTTGTTCTGTTTTTCTCGCCAGGAGAGAAAGCGTCCTGCCCGGTCCTGTCAGGATGTAGCGTCGATCACCGACTTCAGGGTGTGGGGTCTTGGGGCCGTAGAGAAAGTGCCCGGGGGCCCCTGGCCAACATATCTCCCAAACACCATTCCAACCACCCCACAGTATCTGACAGTGAAAAAGCCTGAGACACAAGATAGGACCTAGGATTTGGGGACACTGCTCCAAATCCTAAACTCGCATGATTTGGAATCAAATTGAGCAGTGACATTGTCCGTTTTGTGTGTCCCAAAACACTTTTGGGGGGGGGAGGGGCTCGCATGCGGGGGCACGATGTGCGGCACTGCCCTTCCCCATTGGTTCGGGTCCCCCAAAACCATCCGAGACCCCGAGGGGACGGTAGTTATCATGGTTAGTAATGAGTTGATTAGAGTATGTTAGAGTCGGACCAGTTCCAAATCCCTGCTGGTGTTGCTGCTTGTTGCTCTTGCCGGTATGGTTGTCGTTGTTGTTGGAAACAGCAGCCCCGTCAACACACATGCATCTCTATAATGGGGTACTCGGCATTACTCGGCTGTTGCTTTATAAACCCATAGCAACAAGCCAACATGCACCAGGACTAACCAGGATGACTAGTGCTAGACTAGTACTACTACTTCTACTTCTTCCGCTACTACTACCTACTACCTACTACATCGTATTGCGCTTTGAGGCGCGGCTGAAAAGCTTGAAAACGTCTCCACCGGGGCGCCCTGCGATGTCAGGTCAAAGGTCCGAAAACGACCTATTCTTCCATGTCGAGTGCAAAGCAAATGATGAGAAACCTGCCCTAGGGCTCCAAGTACATCCTCAGAAGGTGCTTGGAGCCCTAGGGCTAATTATGTCCGAGTTTGTAGGAGCGACGAGCAAGCAGGAGCAAGAACGCAACAAGTTAGAGGCCAACGGTTTGGATCCAGCAGAAATTCCACAGAAGAACATCCTTGTGTGTGTGTGTCCCCCTCCGTTTCCAGGAGTTTTAACCCAAATTCTTTTGATCAGTTGCAGGGGAGGCAGGATACATCGTCGCCTGGTCAACGAAGCTGGCGATGTATCCGAGGATATGGAAACGGGACGCCATTTCCACGTACCTGCACTGCTCTACAGGGCAACAGAAGGAAATGGTTCTCGGCGGACTTGTGCGTCGGTTCCTTTCGAGCCTTTTCTAATCTAATGGGGCGATTCGCAAGTCTCGCCCCCTAGCTACAAACTGGAACCTTTTTTTCCTTTTCTAGATATTTTCTACCCTATCCGAAGCGATTCCTTTGGTCTCGCTTCCAGATGGAATTCAACCCACTATGCACGGCCGCAATTCGGGACCGCTAAGTATTCAGTAACTAAGCTGCTGCAGTCAAGCGAAGACATTTTTCAACATTCAAATTGAGCTGATCGTGCGCCATTCCGTTCCCTCACTCCTGTTTTCGTGGAATTGCAGAGTTGGCGGAAAACCAAGTTCTAAGTGTGTGCCGCTCTGTCGTCCCACTGGGTGCAGAGTGTGATCTCCCGCAAGGGAGCGCCGAAACCATCGGGGATCACGTTTGATTCAGCGTCTTTCTGCATGCGTTGGATTATCACCCACTGGCTTTTTGTTTCACCCCATGAATCTTCTGCCACAAAACTGCCGAGCTTACGGAGACTTGACGCCGCCGGGCATGCGGAGAATAAACCCCCGCCGGGTCCCCCTTTTCTCTAACCCCCCCTCTAATTAGGAAGGAAATGGTACTCGACACACTTGTGTGTCGGTGCCTTTCCTTCTGTTGTCCCTGTCTAGTCTACTCTACCCGGGCGTTAAGACTAAAGTCCCGCTCCCTAGCTACTGCACGTAATTCATTTCTGCAAAGTAGTCAGTATATTTAAAGTGCTAAGTATTCAAACACACACATGGACACACACACACACATGAACATACATCCCCTCCCTGCCCCCCACTTTCTCTCTTGGGCTTTCTTTCAGGCTCGTTAGGTTGTTCTTGAGGCTCGTTTCCCTGCCCCGGTCAAGGGCTAAGTAGTCATTTTTCGCTACCCCTATCTTTCTTTCCTGCCCTTTTCGCTTTGCTCTTTCTATTTTTCTTTCTCTCGTTTCTAAGGCTTTTTAGGTTCCTATTCAAGTTTTGCTCCGTAATTTGCTGCTCGTGCGGCAGACCTGCACCTCCCGGGAGCGCCGCCAAGCCAAGCGGCTCCGTGTGTGTGCCCCCCTCCGTTTCCAGAATTTTCAACCCAAATTGTTTTGATCAGTTGCAGGGGACAGGATAAATCGTCGCCTGGTCAACGAAGCTGGCGATGTATCCGAGGATATGGAAATGGGACGCCATTTCCACGTACCTGCAGGGCAACAGAAGGAAATGGTTCTCGGCGGACTTGTGCGTCAGTTCCTTTCCTTCTGTTGAGCCTTTTCTAATATAATGGGGCAATTCGCAAGTTTACTATCTGTTAGCCAAGCAAAGCTATTTGCTAAGTAGTTAGCTAGGTGGCGCGTAGCAAGGAAAATCCATGGTAAACTCAGCAAGCCCAATATTTAGCTTGCACAAAAACAAGGTTTTTGTCTCTTGGAAACTGCATGAGAGATGATGGAACATTTCAAACCAAGAACTACGCGTTCCTTTTTTCTGATTTGCCTGATGTAGAGAACAAGGGTTTGGTATGTTGATCTTGTGTGAGCATGGGATGTTGCACGCATTGTGCACTACTGCCCATGAAGAATGCTTTTTCACCCAACCCATGTATCCACAAAACCTGTCCAAGCTCTTGCGCATGTAGAAGCTTTTTTCAAACTGCTTAACCAGGACGGGGCTGGCTAAGGAAGGCAAAGTTTGGTAACTGAGATGCAAACTTTGCAGCAGGTGTGGTATAGGTAGCCAGCAACAAGCATGTAGTCATGTTGGTTCCCTTGTCTTAACATATCTATCATGACTAGCAACCATGGCTGGCAGTACATGGCAAACTGCACATGTTCAACCATCATTGCTCACAAGCTTGTTTGCCTTTTTTGTGCCCTCTTCCCATACACATATTTCTTGCGCATGATTGATGATTTTTCGCCAATGTGAAAACACACAAGCCAGCTTTGCAACCCTACTTGTCAGAACCAGAAGAACTTGGCAAAGCTCCATCTCTTGTTGATGTGTCTCTTGACTCTTCTTGCCAGCAAATGTACTTTGCCAGGCCTTTCCCATTCTCCAAGACTGCAATGAAATCCTGACAGTCGTTCAATTGCTGCTGGGGTGGGGTGGCATGACCCTCAAAATCGAATCAACATGGAAACAAACCATATATAAAACTATATATATATATGCCCAGGCTGCACAGCTTCTCAGTCAGGCTGCACAGCTTCTCAGTCAGATAAAGCCAATGTTTCTCCAATTTATCCACGGGCATGTTTGCAGAACCCCACTGCTGCATTCTCTGTGGAGGATGCTTTGCCATTGCAAAGCTACTGTCAGGGCCCAATGTAACCAATGTAGCCAAAAGCTGCAGTGAGCTGGTGCCAAAACAACAAGCTACTCAAGCACGCATTTGAGAAACGCACGCTTCCACTTCATATACAATCCTGGGCGCTTGTGTATAGTGTGTTGAGCAAACACCATATACCACTTTGCCAAAAGTTGAAAATCGAGGTGCCAGCATGTCAACAACTTGAACACCAAAGCATAGAAATTAGGTTTGTTGGGTCATTTGGCTAAGTAATTACAACACTTAGCTTAACCTCTTCTTCTGTATCGAGTGCAATGCAGATGATGAGAAACATGAAAGAATAGTAAAAAACACATGTCCAAGTTTGTAGGAGCAACGAGCAAGCAGGAGCAAGAACATTAGAGGCCGACAGTTTGGATCCAGCGTGCAGTCACAGAAGAACCTGCTGGTGTGTGTGTATACACCCTGGGACCGCGGGTCCCTGTGGAGTTTGAACGGTTTTAGGGGGCAACGCTGCATAATATGGTGTTCGGTTTGATGAGATAGCGGAAGCAGTATCTTGCACCCGCTGTGTGTCGCTCCTGGGCGCATTTAAGCCGTAGCTGCAAGTGTCCTTGGGGCGGTGGCATTCCCGGTCTCGGGTGTTAGCCAGCGACATGTTTTGCTACAACTACTACTCTACAGTGTTCTAGATATTACCCATCATGTCCCTGTTATTCTACGTGGCATGTGTAGATTACCCGACCCCCACACTCCCCTACCATACAGTTCACGTTACAAATATATTGCTCCCCGTGTCCGTGTTCCACGTGAAAACAAGATGGAGCCCACGAACCCGAATACAAACGCGATCGAAAAGCTACATATGTCCAAATGACACTCTTGTAGGACACTCTTGTGGGACATTCTTCTGGGCCACTCTGGTAGGAAACTGTTGTGGGACACTCTTACGGGACACTCTTGTGGGACACTCTTGTAGGACACTCTTGTGGGTCACTCTTGTAGGAAAATGTTGTGGTGCACTCTTTTGAAACACTCTTGTAGGACACTCTTGTGGGTCACTCGTGTAGGGTGGGACACTCTTAGGGGACACTCTTATAGGACACTCTTGTGGGACACTCTTATGGACACTTCTTGTAGGACACTCTTGTGGGTCACTCTTGTAGGACACTCTTGTGAGACACTCTTGTAGGACACTCTTGTGGGTCACCCTTACAGGACACTCTTCTGGGACACTCTTGCGGGACACTCTTGTGGGACACTCTTGTAGGACACCCTTGTGGGTCACCCTTCCAGGACTTTGTGGGACACTCTTGCGGGACACTCTTGTGGGACACTCTTGTGGGACACTCTCAAGGAACACTCATTCTTGTGGGTCACTCTTACAGGGCACTCTTCTGGCACACTCTTGCGGGACACTCTTGTGGGACAGTCTTGTGGGACACTCTTGGGGACACTCTTAAGGGACACTCTTGTGGGACACTCTTGTAGCACACTCTTGTGGGATACTCTAAAAGGACACTCTTGTGGGACACTCTTGTCAGACACTCTTCTGGGACACTCTTGTGGGACACTCTTGTGAAACACTCTTGTAGGACACTGGGACACTCTTGTAGGACATTCTTGCCGGACACTCTTCTGGGACCTTCTTGTGGGACACTCTTGTGAGACACTCTTGTAGGACACTCTTGTAGGACACTCTTGTGGGTCACTCTTACGGGACACTCTTGTAGGAAACTCTCGTGGGACACTCTTATGGGACAGTCTTGTTGTGGGACACTCTTGCGGGACACTCTTGTCGCTCACCAGCGACATGCCGTGTTTACACCAGCATGTTTCACGCTCCCCAGTGGCACGGCGCATCGCAAACGCACTTTCACCAAGGCCGCGCAAATCCGCATGGCACTGCGACATCACAGACGTAATTCCGCCACACGGTCCGCCACATACTAGAAGCAAACATATCACATGATACCACCAATCATCCCGCTCACCAGTGGCACACCGCGATACCTCCAAAAGTCACACGTCAAGTCTCCCAACTCACACTTGAAGTCCGCAAAGCAAGCGTTTCGCACGAGGCTTCCTCCAAAAGTCACACGTCAAGTCTCCAAAACGAGCGTTTCGTTCGAGACTTCCTCAAAAACTCACATGTCAAAGTCTGCAAAATTAAACGAGCGTTTCGCACGAGGCTTCCTCCAAAAGTCCAGCGGGAAGCTCCATCGGAGCACACACATCAAGCAGCCCTGCCAAGCAGTTTCGCGATTCCAGCCCCTCCAAACAACACCCGCTCACACGCCAATCCCAATGTCACAGCGACATTCACCTCCACCACAACTCACAACCTCACGATTCCATGCACCTGCCACGAAACTTTCCGCGTCCACACGTCTAACGCGCACAAAGTACTGCGCCTGCCGCGAGATATGTCACCTCCGTCACACCTCGCAACTTCACGATTCCCTGCGCCTGCCCAGTTCTGAGCACACTCCCATCCACCAAAATCGCCATCTCAGCTGAGAATTGTTGCGAAAACAGAGCTTCGACGCAACGCCCTGAAACGCAAATTCCAATGGCGCGGCCACATCCAACACCTCAAAAACACCACTCTCCAAGCGCCAAATTCCAATGTCGCGGCCACATCCAACACCCCAAAAACACCACTCTCCAAGCGCCAATCCCAATGGAACTGCGCAGAAAACTGTGGATCTCACAAAACGCGGTGCCTGTGCAGTGAAATCATCCTCCACACTTCAGCATCTGACATTTCCACACGCTTCCTCGGTATTTCACACGAATCTGACACGTCATGCTTCCATGCAAAACCCTCTCCAAAACCTTCCCCCAATGGCAGCGGCCTTAGCGGCTATTAATGTCCTACTGCGGTCGGCGGCGAACGGTTGCGGACGGTTGAGGACGGTTGCGGACGCTGAGACAACGGGTCGCGAACAAGGCTCTATACCCCCAGAGTTAAACGATCCCTTTGCTACGCATTCGGGAAAAGCAGCGCGAAAGCACCAGGAGCCCCATCATGAAGGTGGCAAAGAGTAGGCGCTACTACAAATTGCTTACGTACTACTACTACTACTACTGCTACTACTGCTACTACATACTACTATACTGCTGCTACTACTACTTGTTGCTCATTTTCTCAGAACAACACCCCAAAGACAGAAACAGGACAAATCCAGGCTTAAGCGTATCCCAAACGCAGGTTGTGGAGATGGGCCGGGGTCTTTCAAGACGTGAGTGTATAGTATTTGAAAAAACCTTGCTTACAGATAACTTTGCCAAGCGTTTGGATGGGGAAAAAGCAAGGGTCGCCATGGACTTATGCGCAAGCAATCCTGAATCCTGCGCTCTGTATCCTGAATACGCTTTTGCGCGCTGCACTCTTGCCGCTGCCCTGCAAGTGGGGACGAAGAATGTGGACTTGCGACGTGGGCCTGCGAGTCGTAGCACTATTATTATTCAACATGAATGGATGGTTGGGTAGGGACATGTTGAGATTTGAAACATAAATGATATGATCCCCAAACTTGATGTCAATTTTGGCTCAAGTTTGGGAACCAGATCTTCCTTTCTCCCACCCACTACCGCCCTTGGCACCCTCTGCGGGTATTATAGGGTTGGGTTTGGGTTTCCTCTATCTACCCGAGATGGGTGATCAGGTAAGATCATCAAAGATGACTTACCAAGCTGGTCTGTGTGTTAATACACCACGACTGTTGACCCACGGAAAAGAAGACTCAATCGCTTCACCGTGTGGTATCGTTCTTTATGTTTCAACTGGTTTTGCTCGCTTGTCTTGGTAAGCCGGACCACCGCATAGCCGCATGTTAGGTTTATTGGTGTTTGCTTTGTGGAGAGGTTGGTTTTGGACAATCCTGCATGACCCAAACTATAGGGGATGCCAACACTTGACCCAACACGCAGGACTTGAAACTGTGAACTTGCGCTGGTCCAGCCTAGCAGGGGCGTTGACTTTGCATCCGTCCACGTTTTTGGGTTTCAGGTGGGTTTTTCATGCCCTGGCTGCGCGAAGGCAGTTTGCCGTTTTTACTCGCACGTCGTCAACTGCATTTGCCACGCACTTGCGCCTTCTTGGAGAAAGGTGCTGTGAACGAGCCCCTTGACAAATTGAGTGGTTGCGACTCTCCATTCTTGCAGGCTGCAAAACCAAAAGCGCGAGCCAAGTGCCAAGAGATTTTGTGTGGGCCTCGGTTTTGTTTTTTTACTTGTTTGGCGGCTGGCGTGTATATGTGTTTTGCATCACACGCCGGGTTTTGTCATGTGGAGTAGTGTGGAGTCAGAAATTCGTCTGCCTGGGCATTCGTGATTTGTGTTTTCTTAGACGAGGCAAGCGTTTGGGTGGTGAATTGGAGACAAATCCATCCATGAGTCTGTTCCACATCTCGAATTGGTCTTTTCGTTGGTGACATCCAAATGAGGTTTATTGTGCAATGATTTTGTTCCATTCGGTCTGAAGTGTTTACTCCATATTGCACGGGCTGTTTCATCCAAAGTCGTTTGTTGGTGCAAACGCTCGATCGTTTATGTGGGTTCTTGACCCATTGTGAATTGCCACCTTGTGGTTCCAATAAACTGGAGAGATTGCGCCACGACCTTTTAGCTGCCTTGCCATCACTTGAACTGGAACTATTCATTCACCTTAAAAAAAAAAGTAACTTCACTTCGAGTGACCCCGAAAGGCGATTGGGAAGAAGGCAGGGCGCACGTATTGACAGACTAGCCTCATGACACAGGTGGACGTGCGAATTGACGCAATGTTCTGGCGCTTGTTCTGGCGTCAAGCCTGGTTTGTGCTCTGACACATCATCTATCATAAAGGCTGGGACGTCTTACATGTGTTGTGACATATTGTCCGACTTCGGTCCTGGTATGTGCCCATACATGCCTTTGTATCTTGCATAGTATCTGGCCTCTGGCATATGTTCTGGCGATTGACACCTGTTTTGCACACAATTGGGCATTCTTGTTGGCGTATACTGTCATTCTATCAGGCATACAGACACTCTGACAGCCTATATGGCCTTTACTCTAGCACTCTTGGTGGCATGCTGCAGCATTTACCTTGCATTCTCGCATATATTCCCACATTCAGTATGACGCACACTTCTGGCATTGTATTGGCATATACTTTGGCATTCTATCTGGCATATTTTCTGGCATCCTACCTGGCATAGCTGCTGGCATTCGTTTTGTCATACCTATCTGTCATACCACTGCGGTCCAGAACTTGCGGTTGAGGTCCGGCGGTGCTCACTGCGACCCAGCACTTGCAGTTGAGGTCCGGCGGAGGAGCAGGAGGAGAAGGAGGGGAGAAGGAGGAGGAGGACATCCTGATAAAATCTAACAACCCTCACCTGACAGGTGGGAAAAAAAAACACATGTTTGACCTGCATCCCACGCAGCATCAACATGGAACGATGCTTGCTCGAGGCCCAGAGGGATTGCACAAAACGTGGTTTGGGAAACCCAGTGGGGAGAGATTGAGTCCTGGTGGTCGGTAGCAACTTTGAGGTTGTCAGTGTGGGATGTGTGCGTACATCGAAATCAGGTGCCTCACCAAGTAAATGTTCATCCAGATCTCTTATGATCAGCCTTTGGGTTTTGCTCACGTTTCGGGTTGGACACTTGGTTTGAGCATCTGCAAGCATACCATCAGGGCATCAGTTTCATGATGTTTCATGAATGGAGTTGTAAGTATAAACACCTTTTGACATGTGGATTGGTGGATGACGGACAACCAAACATGGTCACACAGACAATTGCATATGTTTTTCCTGGACAAAATTTGCGAGGCATCGCCTGACTGATCCTTTTTGGACTGTCATGCCTGTCATGTCAGTTTACCAACCTCAGGAACCATGTTTGGTGGTAGATATCATTGTCGTCATTTTGGTGATCAATTGTGTAACATGTGTCCCCTAAAATCCAGATAATACGTCCTTCATGGCCTTCATGAAACCACCTCCATATCCTAGTTTGTCGAGTTCAACTGACTATAGCCCAGACTTGATGGAAACACGTTGATTGTACTGCCTTAAGAACCAGATGCATGGAGATAAAACCAAACATTTTCCGGGGTCTTCGTTCCTGGTGTCAAATGTTTGATCTACAAGTCAGTATCCAGTCGTGCGAGGAACCAACAAAATGTTACAGGAGGCATCGTCAAAGAATGCGCATGTTTGGAACTTAGATGAACGTAGGATTGACTGGAGGACCCTTAGCACACACCGTTCCCCAAGTCTGGTTCCTTTGTCCCATTTTTCCGAAGCACCCGTTAGTGCACTCCTGTGTGTGATTCATACACTTGGTTTGGCCACCTAAGACTACATGAGCTGTTCATTGCATGAAAGAGAAATACGACTTGCCGCCCAGTCGGCCACACGACTGGCCGCTGTCGGACAGATGGCCTCGCATCGACGCATGGTTCTGGGCCGACACAGAGCGAGCTCGGTCCCAGCCTTTAGAGCAGGGGCTTTGTTTGCCACGAGGCAAATCCTTGTTCAGGTATGTTCAGGTGCCAAAAGATATTCCATGTCCTACAAATATCCATCATATCATTGAAAAAACATCCATGTCATGATTCTAGCCCACCAGTAGAGTATCTAGATGCGCTGCCCGCCAAAAAGACACCTGTCACAGCCTCCCTACAGCTGGCTTCTTCAGTTCCCAGTGCAAACCCGCGCCTTGCCCTGAGGCCATTGCCCTAGCAAGGCGCGCGCGCCAACTCGATATGTTGGTTTTGATCCAAGCTGGGCAAGGTATCTACAGGAATGTTTTTCCCAAGTTGCTAAATCGCCTAAGCGTCATGAGCTTAAAGAGTGTCTAGGATTGGCTTGTGGTCGAGAATACATCCCGTGGTAGTGCTGAACCCATCTGGCTCATGGTGTGTCTCCTTGCCCTACATCCGTGAGGGGCTTTGGGGTACACAGTCACAGAACAAGCAAATCTTGCCGAAAGTAAGGGCGCCCAGTCTCTATGCACAATGGATCCTATCCATTCCAATCAGATCGTGTCATATCATTATAATATTAATATCAGGATCATAGCATGCACTATATATATTGTATATTTACATTTACATGTACGTGTATAGTATACACATCGCAGCTTCACAGGTGAATCCTATAGGATCCACCACTCTTCGGCCTGCGTGGCGGAAAAACACCGAGTTCGGATGCGTTTGCGATGGGCACCACCGGGGATGGGGGGCGGTCCGGGACTCAGGGGGCCGTGAAGGAAAGGACAATAGCTGACAAAGCGCCCTACTAGGGGCTCATTGACGAGGTGTTGGTTGCAGAGCGCCGATCATGGCCCTTTGATCCCGGCCGCCTGGCCTATACATGGGCATGGCTCTCCAAGCAGGTTGCCATCCTCGCACCTACCCCCGCAACCTGCATGTCCTTGAAACCAAATGATTGAGCCACATCCAAGCGACTTCCTCTTCTTGTGCGGGTGGCTTTGGTGTGGCTTTCTACCGGTGTTCTGGTGATTTGGTCCAGGATGACTTGTTTTTTTTGGGCCGCCGTGAGGTGGCAGAGATACTTTGGTGTGTAGCTCAAATAGGGAGACTTCCCAGATCGACCCCCGTGGAAAAAGAAGGGGAAATTGACCCAGTCAACCGATTAGGCCAGCGGGTCTCCCTATTGAAATGCACTGACAATCCTATTTCCAACATGTTACTCTCCAAAGTCTTCTTCTTGATTCACACACAAGAAAAACGAAGCAACTTCCCATAACTTCGGTGGAGCTTGGTCCCTTCAAACCGCGCCGGTTTGGATCTTCTGGTTGGGCCGAAAAACGGCCCCGTCAGGTTGGGTCAAGGCGCTACGCAAGACTTGGCCGGTGCATTAAGGTGCGCTGGGCCGCATGCCAAGCGTTCCGGGCGCGGTGGGCGTTCTGGAGAAGCACCCAAGCGGCAGCTCGGAACGCCCAACCAATCGTAGATCCATCGTATATGTATAAATATATATGGGGTTTACAAATAACCAAGTGCCATGATATGGCCATGTGTGTTTTTGGAAGGTACAGAGGATGTAAAGTTCACAGATTGTACACACAACCCTCAATAGTTGCGGATTCTTTACGTTGTGAAACCTTTGGATCGTTGCCACTGAACATGATGTTTGTTTGTGTGTGTTGTGTTCCTTTTTAAAGGTATCATGTGCGCAGGTTCCTTCACGGGTATTGTGCTCCGCTCCCTTTTGGGGTTGTGTGTCGTGTGTGTGTGTGTGTCAAACCCTGTTTGCAAGGGTTCAATTTAATTTAAAGCAGGGGGACAGAGCTCTCTGATGCTACTCTGTCCAACGAAGCTGT